GCACGAAACGCGGTTTTCCAACCTCTTGAACTCTGAATAATCGCGTTCGGAGCGAGCCGAGTCCGCAACGATTTCTCAAGACGTTGCACCCCTGGAGCGAGCAAACGCATCGTCGAAAAAGGCAGCTTGCTCGGCCGCTGGCGGTGGAGAAAGAGGTAGGGTAGGACCAGGGGGAGACCGGTGCTTGCACCTCTCGAGAGGGGGAGGGGGTGGCAAGGTGGTGGCGAGGCTCACGGTAGTCTCTCGCCACCGAGCGTGCGTCGGCTGGCTCCGACGTCGTTCGGTTCTGACCGGCTTTATCAGCGCCGGCGCTGTCACCCCTTTGACGTAGCAAAATGGCGGCGGCGTGTCGGAGGCGTCTCCGTTCGCACAGTGCTCGACGTCGCGCAGTCCGCGTATGTTCGCAATAACGTTCCAGCGGGTCAACGTCGGCGTCGGTGACAGATCGAGCGGCGTATCGCACGCGATCGTGGCACCGCGCTCCGATCACGCGCGCCTCAGACACGGTTCCTTCTTCCGGTAACGCTGCACGTCGCTGACGCACGTTACTACCACCCCCTCCACCCCCCCCCCCTCGTACACAGCGGAGCGAAGTCGAGTGCACGGCGTGCGGGTTACGCGGTTGCGGTCGACACGGAAACGACGACGTGAAGAGCAGTGAGCGAGCGGTGCCAGGAGCGAGGGGAAGGAAAAAGAGAGAGATCACGGTTTACTGTGTGTTCGGTACGTGAGATATTCATCAAGAGTTCTCGCGACGCCGCGTGCTTCTTCCGATCTTCTTCATCCCTTCATTCCCTTCTCCTTTCCCCTTCTCTCTCTCTCTCTCTGACCCATCCATCGCTCCGAATTCGATCCCGGAGCGCGCGGCTCCCTCCGTTTTCTTTCCATTTTTTTCCCACTCGTTTTCCACCCGATCCGTTTTGTCCCCAGTCTCTCTCCTGTCTCTCTTCTGACTCTCTTTGTCTCTCTCTCTCTCTCTCTCTCTCTCACTCTCTCTGTCTGTCTTACGTGCCCGGCGCTCTTTCACGGTACCGTAGTGAAATGCGCGTGACCGGTCGCGCCTCGGAACGACGGCGACGACGTGTCTGGCGTCGTTGGTGGTGCACGTTCCCCTGACGAGCACGAGAGACGCACGACGGCGACTCGGAACATCCCTCGCAGTCCTCGTTACTATGATAATAACGAAAAGCTCGGTGACGGCGGCGGCGGCGGCGGCGGCGGCGGCGACGACGAGGACGACGACGACGACGACGACGACGACGGCGGCACGGTGGCCGCTTCTCCAGAATCGAGAGACGCTTGGTCGAATTTATCACAACGTCGATGGAAAACGGCGATCAACGACGAAACTACACAGCGACGCTGTCTCGGCGATGTTGTCTCGCAACTGCGGCCGTCGCAACGTGGTACACGGGAACGACAACAGCAACATCATCGAGCCGCGGTGGATCAGCGATAGCTGCACAGAAATCGTATCGGTGCTGCCGTACTACTATTATTGCCAGCGTCTCGCTATTATTAGCATCGTAGCCTCGTTACTCGCCGACGACGACATTCGCGGGGACAATTTGATTGAATCAGGACGACTTTCGGAGCACCGGGACGACGCGGGCACGGACGACAGCGCGGCAACGAGCAGTGACGATCTTCGTATTCTCAACCGCCGGGACGGACTTCTACGTTGTTGCGCGTGACCAAGAGCCTTGCTATTTCTAGCCGTAATCGACGACACGCGCGACGGAGGGAGAGTGTTAACCGATGATTAGCGAGGCGGCGTGCGAACGTTAATCCGCGGGCCGGTATTTCTCGTATCGCAGTAACGAAACTGATACCGAGTCGATCGTTGATAATAACGCGTGTACAACAGTCATTCTCCGCGCCGATCGATCGTCATCGCGCGCCGGTATATACAGAGAAAACAGTGTTACAGACGAGCGCATAGGAACTCGTGTCACGTACGGTCATCGGCCAGTGTACACACACCGGCAGGGGAAGGGCGGGAGGGGGTGGATCCAGGGTATAGGAGAGCGACGGGGAGAGAAGGAGCCAGGTAATCGTTGATCCAGATAAGCCGGTGTGTATCGCGTATAAGGTGTGTACGGATGGACGTTTCGCCGCGGCCCCAACCTGTGACGAACTGTAAACAGGAGTATTCCGTTAAGAAATTGATAGAAGAAGGATAATAAAAAAAAAAGCGCATTAGAGGTGCTCGTACTTTCCGCACTTTCAAAGCTTTCGCGCGTAACCAGCGTGTACGTAGCGACTATAAACACGGATTTCACACGTAACGTATACCTATACAGACACACACACATATATATATATATATATATATATATATATATATATATCTGTATACGTGCGGATGCGACACGTATTTCGCGCTTGTACATTGTACGTGATAGAGACGTATAGTGAGCGAAGAGCAGGGAGATAAAAAGCACGAAAGACAGAGAGAATAAGACAAAGAGAGAGAGAGAGAGAGAGAGAGAGAG